GGTTACAGATAGTGTACATACCCTGTACCATGTCCGGGTCGGCATCAGCATCCTGCTGTGTGAGGTTGTAAACCCTACCCTGAATAGGAGGTCTTCCTTGATTCTGGTTCCTTGGGCACTCTCTCGCATAGTGTTGGGCACTACCACATATGCAACAGGTGTTGTTGAGGCGGTAGCATGGTCGGTCTCCGTGATCCCTGCCACAGTGCTAACAGATCTTACCACATACTGCCCCTGGAGCCTGAGGGGGAGCCTGGATCACTAGTCTGGGCCTCTTATTCTGTTGCACATGCGCAGTAGGTGCTGGTCTGCAGGGTGGAGCTGAGGGTCTGTGATTCCCTGCTGACTGAGGAAGGGTGTGGAGGCTCCTTTCCACAATCTGTGTCTTTGCCAGAACGACTGAGTATGTCTTGAGCTCCAGTACAAATAAGTGTTGCTTGATCTCTAGGCGGAGGCCCCACTGGAACCTTCTAGCCTTCCTGCCCTCATCCATCAACGTCTCAGGGGAGTATTGACCCAGCTCTAGGAACTTACGAGCATATTCCAACATCGTCCTGTTTTCCTAGACCAACTTGACAAAGTTCATCTCCTTTAGATGTCGGATGTACTAAGGGAGGTACTCCACATGAAAGGCTGCTAAGAACTGCTCCCAAGTGATTAGAATAGGCAGGGTGGTCTGCTTGAGCTCCCACCAACGATCTGCTTCTCCTACCAGCATGTAGGAAGCAAGGGTGACCCTCTGTTCGGGAACCACTCTAAGGTCTTAAAAGCCTTCTCTATCTCTCCCAACCAGTACTGGGCATCTTCAAAAGAGGATTGTCCTATAAAAGTGGAAGGGTTCAGTCTCATGTACCTCTCTACGTAGCCCGAGTCAATCAATGAAGGAGCTGGGTCCCGCGAAAGAGGGACTGGGCCAGGCTGAGGATAAACTAGGGGGCCATGTGGTGGTACTTGCTAATATGGCAGGGGCATTGGATTATACTGTGGTGGTGTCGGGCAGTACTGTGGCTAGAGCATCGGGTTATACTGCGGCGGTGGTGCCGGGTGATACTGTGGAGGAGCAGGCTCGTACCGAGGTGGTTCGGGATCCTCTCACTGCAGCGACGACTCAACCTGTGGTAGTGGGGGAGGGTCAAGTAGCTCCCTTCTCTCCTCTCGACCTTGCTGGGCAGCAATGAGTCTTTCCAGCATCTCAAATATTTTGTCCACATCTTCCCGAAGCGAACCATCCCGGGCTGCTCGGTTTAGTGGGGGTCTTCCTCTCCTCATCTCTCTGCACCTGCATTTCACAAGAAAGGGTTGAGTAATGATTCATTGGTTTGGTATTTCTCTACGTATTATTGTGTAAGGGACGAGTCCAAGGAATGCGGCTCTGATACCAATGTAACGACCCCGAAAATTAAAAAAGAAATGTATATAAAAATTTTAAGTGCGGAAGCGAAATAAAAGATTTTGGTTAATATCTCTTACACAATAGCCAAAACGTACTAAACATATGAAAGAATAAGTTAGCTAAAGGAAATACTAGAAATGAATACTATAAGGAAATGTATAAAATATTTAGGCAT